CAAGTTGGTCTTCTTGATTGCATTGTTTGGTTTGGGGTTGAGCAATTCCTAAAATTACTTATTCTGAGAATTCTTTCAAAATAAAGTTTGCCCTTCCAAATAATAGTTTAATGATAAATGAGTTAGGAAATGGATTAATACTATAATTTATTCAAACACTACCTTAAAACAGAACACATACCATGGGAGAGCTGTTAACAATATTTTTTTTTCCTTATTAGCACATCTTAGTTTTCTCAGTACAAACTTTGCCTTGCTAAAACTGGCACAGCAAATAAATAAAGCATAATCAGGCTAAATTATAGAATCGTAGAATATTCCAAAATGGAAAGGACCCACAAGGATCCTTTTAACTCCTGGAAACACAATAAATGCAAGAGCCACTGCCAGTTGGGAAATAACTTGGAATTACTTCAAAATGCTTACAAATCCCAGAATGAAAACATCCCCGTATTCAATAAAACACTACCACAACACCACCAGACACATAAATAAAAGCTAGGAATTAAGAGGACATGAGTATTTGAAAAAGAAAATAAAGTTGTAGGATTAGAAAAAAACACAAAGCAGGGAAAGAATAATTATCAGTGGTATGGGGGAGTTTCTACATGCAATAGGACACACCCCTGCTCTCTCCTTGCCTCTTCTTAGCTGTTGATATTTAAGGGATCTAAGATATAAACTTTCAGATTAAAAATTCACAAAAAGCTAATGGCACCAGAAATACTCCCTCTGGAAATCAGTCCTGCCCCATTTCTCGTCCCCAAGATTCTTTAGGCCTCTTCCTTATGAAGCTAAAAAAATAATTTTTGGGGTTTACTTTGGTTTGTTCAAGTTTTCTCTGAGTCTCTACTAAGGAACAAAGGTTACAAAAGTAGCAATAGACCAGCATTTACAGAAAAGAGAATCTCTCTGCAAATCTATCCTCCTCTTCCATCCTCAAATTTAGTTGATAAATACAAAATTTACTGCTCTGTCTCAGGAAATCCCTGAGCCATAAGCAGGCGGATGCAGTCCTCTTGCATAAAAGTAAGACACTGAGTGGCTTAAGAATGTCTCAGTGACTTCACAGCAGATGAGCTGAATTGCTCCTAACTGTGCAGAAATCTACAGCAATCATTTCAAAAAAGTCACAGTTTTTAAGAACTGAAACAATCGATTTGATTAGAATTATTTCTACATAAACTCTCACCTGGAAAAAAAAACCTAATTAATTAATTATAGAGTAAATACTCGATTCATTAAGAATGCCGTTCAACTGAAGAACCTTCAATATTCATGATAGTGGATGAGAAAACAACCCCACATGGTTGCTGAGAGTAGAACTAAATTTGCAGGCCTCTACATAGCTGTGACAATGGAATACCTAGCTTCTTTTTTCTTATGCATGCTTTGGATGTTTTGTGCAAACCACTTATACAAAATGAGGAACCTCATGATGTGATTTTTCTATATAAAGGTAATTATAAAACAGAACATTTCAAATAACCCAGTGCTTTTCAATGGGAATAATTTACTTTGGCTACCATTATTCACAATTACTAATGATTTTCTATTTGCACCCTGTTACTCTCTTCTCTTGATAATTGCTTTTTATGTGTGTACTGCATATGTTGCTTGTTAAAATATGCATGCTGAGTTTAATAACAATGACTGCAATGTCCTCATCTTTAACAATTAAAGATATAATTGCCTGGGAAAGAAACTGAAGTCTTCACATCTCTGACTTTATGCCTTCTCTAAGTTTCATCTTACAGTAGCCAGAATTAACTCTGTTTTGAAAAAAATTGGCATAACCATTGGCCTCTTTGCAAGCTTCCAGAATTTGAAATTGAGTTAACATCTGGTAGGTCCAGTTTTGCTAAGTAAGGACAAAGTATTTATTCAAATGTAAGTAAGGCAATCCAGAGGAGGGTGACAGAGATGATGAGGCGCCTGGAGCACCTCCGTCATGTGGAAAAGCTGAGAGAATTGGGGCTGTTCGGCTTGGACAAGACTGAGAGGGGATCTTATCAGTGCTTAATGAGGGAGTCAAGTGCATGGGGCCAGGCACTCTTCCGTGGTGCCCAGTGACAGAACAAGGGGCAACAGGCACAAACTGGAACACGAGAAGTTCCATCTGAACATGAGGAAGAACTTCTCTACTGTGAGAGTGACAGAGCACTGGAGCAGGCTGCCCAGAGAGGCTGTGGAGTCTCCTTCTCTGGAGATATACAAAATCCAGCTTTGACAATTTCCTGCTTAATCTCCTGTAGGGATACTGCTTAAACAGGGATTAGATGATCTCCAGAGGTTCCTTCCAGACCCTATGATTCTGTGATGTACTTTGTTCCTGGTAGGCTCAGTTAGTGATACTGTGCAACATTTACCATTCTAGTGATTTTAGCATTCCAAACAGCTCAAGTAAAAACACAGTTCTGTATTTTTATGAATAGATTCTGATAAACCTTCATTAAAATAATTGTTAAAACTGACCAAAAGAAAAAAGTTGGTTCAAAAGTCCCATAGAAGATGCTAAAAGCAACACTCTAGGGGTCATTTTTTAATTAAATGAACTTGTTCTTAGTGTTTCAGTCCTAAACTGTAGAATTTGGTCCAGCATTTTGTTCCAAGGCACAAGAACTTCTGTAGAAGCTGAATTCTGCATTCTTAGTGATGAAAAATTGGTCATTCATTTCTTAAAAAAAATTCTATAGCAACGTTTAGATTGTTCCCAAAACCCAGGTGAAGTCATGTTAGTTAAGGCTAATGCTGAATTTAATGAAATCAGCCAACGGGGAAAGCAGGTGCACGAGCAAATCCATTTTGTATTTTACAAAGGATCTATTGCTACTTTCAAAACAACACTGAAGATTTAATGGCATGAAGACCATGTACTACTCAATATACAAAGAATTTTAAGATGAAGGGAATAAAGGACTGTACTAGTTTTATTATGCACAGGCAAATGGCAAAGTTTTAAAAACTGTTGTCCAATCAAATCAGGTTTTTCCTAAGAACAAGACATGACCCAGACTGCAATGTCTTGAGTCAAAATATGCCAAATTCTCTTTGCTGAAACCACTTCTCAAGAAATCAGTATGATAACTTAAGGAGATTTGAATTTCAGAAGCTTTCAAAGATCAAGCCTGCAATTTTTAGGGGCTGGGGGAGAAAAAGGTGGAAAACTATACCATACCACTGTACAGTCAGGAAACAAACTGCAATATGGTTTAAAATGCACATCATCACAAGAAGCAGTAAAACACTGGCTTCTACTTTAAAATGCAAGCTTATGTTGTACATAAAAAAATTTACACTAAAAGCCCATTTTCCCTTATTTTTAAGCAACACAATGAAATAAGCATATTTCAATAGATGGGATAAATACCAGACCAAAATGCAAAATTCTCTGCCTTCATGTGTTCAGAACTAAATTTACTGAGAGATATACATTATCAAAACAAGTTATAAGACTAAACAAAAGGTTCATGAGCTGAGATTTAGTAATTCATTATATGAAGAGCTGAGGAGAATCAGGACACTCTGCGTTCATTTCCATTCTTAGAAATGAAAACTAAACACCACAACAATGTAAGTCAAATTATACATCAACATTAATTATTTATCCTTCTCTTTCCTAAAAAGACTGCCATCATTCAAGTTTGTGTTACAGTTCCAAATATAGTTAAAAAAATGGTTAACTTTTTCCGTGAGGAGTTTGGAAATTGGGAATAATTTGGGGATTAATTTCTTCACATAAAGGTACTTACCATTGCAATCAATTCATATTTCAGAACTGTTTTCTTTTTTCTTTTTGAATTGAAAACGTGTATTTAATACAGGGTTTATGCCTTCAAAAAAATCTCTAATGGCAAGTTATCATAAAAGCACAGACATCAGAATTATGTGCATTGTCAATCATGCTGTATACTCTGAGAATACTATTCAGTAATACTCAGTACTTTATTCCTCCTGATATCTCTTCAGGCTACTTGCTACTGCATCACATTTAGATGATCACTAAGCTTATTAACAAACCACCAGATCTTTTTCAAAAATCGCTGTCCTCTATGAGCTTTCCAACTGACACGTACTGCATTCTTTGTTCCTATACATACAACCTGTATATGGTTGCATGAGAATGAAATTCATCTGTAGGGAACACATTATATAAAATGCTGTATGAAACTGTTTCTTGACACAGAACTGAGAAAGCGATATCTGATTCTTTTTTCTGAGCAACAATTTTGTATTTACTCCTAAGTTTGACAAAACTGTCAAATGGTGCCAGAGTTATTACCACTACCTACAAAATGTCACACACACACACACACACACAAAAACAAAAACAAAAAAAAACAAAACAAACCCCTTTTTCTGGTAAGATTTTTGCATCAATGACTGCTTTTCTAGATCTGTTACTAAGTTCTTAAGACCCTTCATATGCCACCCCGATGCTGCGCAGTACCAATTTTTAGTTTAATGGCAGGTCTCAACTATAAATAACAAGTGGATTTCATCTAAGCAGTTACTTCCATTAACACATTTAATTTTGCTTGTGTAAAATCTACTTTCTGATACAATCTTAATATATCTTCTTTAGAAACTGAGCAAATATTATACATACGAACTGTAGAAATCTGTAGCTATCTAGAAGAGTTCAACAATATATTTCTGTGCTTCCTAGTCTAGAAAAGCTAAATCAGGAACTAGCCTGTGTGTGCAGATTGCCTTACAACCTTTCAAGGAAGCTGCTTCATGAATACGTACTCATAGACCAAGTAACATTTGTTAAGTATCATTTGCAACTCAAATATACTGAACTTCCTGAGATGTTCAGAATCAGAGACTCAGAACAGTCTCAGCCTGACCAAAAAACCACTGGTATCAATGAAATCTTTCACTGTTACTGCAGTGGCCTTTGGAACGGATCCTTATCGTCTGCATTACAGATTTAAATATAAGCCTGTTTGAAACAACAGTAATATAATGAAACACCCGCAAACAACAATCCTTACCTGTTCAAAGCAAAAGCATAATGAAACTTAATGTTGTGTTGATCAGCCAGGTCACATGTAGGAAGCATTTCTAGTGTTTCTACCAGCTTCACCATAGCATCATAGTCCTGGTAGGAATAAAATTATACATATTTTTTTTTTTTTTAAAAAGGAAGACAGACAGAAATACAGAAGCTTGAGATCACCTCCAGCAGAGGAAAATATCAGTAACCTAAAATTTATCATGACAGCTAGACAGGTCATGACTGGTAGCATCAGGTACAATGCTGGACCTTTTCCTCACCAACATGAGAAAACTGATTGGTGACATCAGGATTGGAGGCTGCCTGGGCTGTAGTGACCATGCAATGGTGCAGTTCAAACTCCTGAGTGATATTAGACAGGCAAAGAGTAAACTCAGGAAGCTTAGTTTTAGGAAAGCCTATTTCCAGCTCTTTGGGGAGTTAGTCAATAAAACTCCCTGGGAATCTGTCCTCAACGAAAAGAGAGCAGAGCAGAGCTGGCAGATCTTAAAGGAAGATCTTAAGGCACAAGTGCTCTCCATCCACAGGTGTATGAAGTCAGGAAAGGAAGGCAAGAGACGGATATGGCAGAAGTGGGACCAGCTGGTTAAACTGGAGAGCAAGAAGAAAATGCACTAGCAGTGGAAGCAGGGACTGTTAAACTGGAAAGAATATAGGGATGCTACTAGGCTGTGTAAGGGTGAGGTCAGGAAAACCAAGGCCCAACTGGAACTGGGCTTGGCAAGGACAAAGAAGGATAAGAAAGGCTTCTCTAGGTACCAGAAACCGAAAGTCAAGTAGGGTGTACCCTCCCCACTGAGCAATACAAGAAGGTTCGTAACAGCAAACAAGGAGAAGGCTAAGATACTCAACATTTTTGTCTCAGTTTTCACTAGCAGCTCCCTTACAGACAGCTCTTGAGCGGATGGTTCGTAAGGTGGGAAACTAGGGGAGCATTGCTCCTCCTGATGTAAGCAAAGATCAAGTTCGTGACTCCAAAGGAACCTGAACAGCTGTAAGTCTATGGATCCCAAAGAAATGCATCTCAGAGTCCTGAGGAAACTAGCTGATGCAGTTGCCATACCATTGTCAATGATATTTGAAAAAAAGTCGTGGCAGTCATATGAAGTCCCTGGTGACTGGAAAAAAGATAACGTCACACTAATTTTTAAGAAGGGTAGAAATGATGATCCAGGAAACGACCAACCTGTCAGCCTCACCTCTGTGCTTGGGAAGATCGTGGAGTTTCACGAAACCTACAATAAGGTACATGAAAGATAGAAACGAGAATGAGAGATCCAGCATGGCTTCACCAAGGGTATCTGCTGCTTGATAAGCCTTGTGCTGTTTATGATGGCATAACTGCATCAGTGGACAAGAGAAGAGCCACTGATATCATCTATCTGGACACCAGTGAGGCCTTTGACACGGTACCCCACAACATCCTTTTCTCCAAGTTGGAAGGACATAGATTTGATGGGTGGACTGTTCAATCCACAAGGAACTGGTTGTGAGGTTGTGTCCAGAGAGCGGTAGCCAATGGCTCAACGTCCAGTTAGAGAACAGTGACAAACGGTGTCCCTTAAAGGTCAGTACTGGGACTGGTTCTCTTTAACATCTTCATCAAAGACACTGATAGTGGGATTGAGTGTAACTTCAGCAAGTTTGCAGATGACAACAAGCTGTGTGATGCAGTTGGCACACCTGAGGTACAAGATGCTATTCAGAGAGATCTTGACAGGGTGAAACACGGGGCCCATGAGAACCTCATGAGGTTCCATAAAGCCAAGAGCAGGGTGTTTGAACCCGGGCCATGGAAACCTCTGCTATCAGTACAAGGTGAGGGATGAAAGGGTAAAGCACATCCTTGCAGAAAAGGACCTGAGGGTACTGGTGGATGGCAAGCTGGATTAGCCAGCAATTTGCCCTCATATCCCAGAAAGCCAACTATATCTTGAGCTGCATCCAAAGAAGTGGGGTCAGCAGGTCAAAAGAAGTGATCCTGCTCCTCTACTCTGCACTGCTGACACTTCAGCTGGAGTACTGCATCCAGATGTGGAGTCCTTGGTACAGACCTGAAAGTATACAAAGGAGGGCTATAAGAAAGAAGGAGACAGACTCTGTAACAGGGTCTGTTGTAATAGGACAAGGGCACATGGTTTCAAACTAAAAGAGGGCTGGTTTAGATTGGATATAAGGAAGAATTTTTTTACAATGAGAGTGGAAGGCACCAGCACAAATTGCCCAGAGAGGTGGTGGATGCCTGGGGACAGTCAAGGTCAGGCTGGATGTGGTTCTGAGCACTATGATGTAGGTCTAGGTATCTTGTTCACTGCAGGGGAATTAGACTAGATGGCCTTTAAAAGTCACTTCCAACTCAAAAGATTCTGTGATTGTATGACAGTGTCTCAGGTGACTTTCCTTAGAAGTGGGACTTTGTCTATCCATGTCAATACTTACCTTTTCCTCCATTCAATGCCAATTCCTCCATTCAATCCAGAATACCCTTAGCCATTTACCAGCACTAGGAAGGAGAGGTGTTGAGTCTGGCTGTTTCAAGCCTTAGTGAGTGCTTCTGATGAATTACACTTCATCTGGTCACTGCAAAATTCTATTCTGCACCAGCTTGTTTTGCAGAACCTCAGCTGGTTGTGCATTCATTTTAGTTTTTCGGGAAGTTACCCACATACACACTGCTGAAGAGGCCAGTTCACTGAGATCATGGATGGTCTTTCACTACTTAATCTGTGTGTTCAATATATATTTGAATGTGATTACATTTCTCCAGGAAGACATTTCAAATGAGTGCAAATGCTCACCAGAGGTGATAAAAATGATATGGATAAGAAACAGCAGGAGAATATAAATCTCAGAATGAAAAGTTGGGTGATGCAGAGTAATACAGTCACCCACTGCTCTCATGTCTCATTTATACTTGCCAAATAACCAACTTAGCTCCTGAAGAAAAAAAAATAAATAAATCTATTGAATGGTTGGAAGTACATTTTAAAAGTGATATCAAACACAGAGCCTGGCAGCTCCAAAATACAGTGTGTAAGCTGTGTTTGAATAAAATCAAGAAAAAAAGGTGTACCTACTTTTATAAAGAAATCAGTATTCCATTCAGTTATAGTTAACAACTTGGACACTTCTGGTCAATACATTGGTCAAAACAAATCAATTTTATTAGTTTCCAAACACAGTTGACTGTGGGGAGAGAGGAATAAGGGGCAGGGAAGAAAAAAGCAAATGTTCACCTTGCTTGGATGAGCTTTCATTATTTATATATTTTAAAGAGGTTAAAAATGACAGAAAATAAGCAAAAAAGTCTCCTAGTCAGTGTCTCTTGTTCACAAGTAAAATAAATAAGAGTCTACAGCCCCTTATAGCTTAGTGGTCAAGTCAAACTGTTAGTGCAGAAATTTAGGGTCAGCTTTGAATCACTCTTTAACAAAGTCTTGAGAACAAACAAGTTTCAAAATCCCATAGTAAAATCACCTTCTTTAGAAACATACCTGTATATCTCGGTAAGAAAGAAGCAGGTTTATGACAATATCAGAAGTCAGCACTTCAGTATTATCCATACGAAGCTTAATTCTAGCCAGCTCCTTAGCCAGTTCATCTCCTTGGTACTTCTCTCTAGCCTTCCTAATATCATTTAGCAGCGTTTCTTTATAATAGGCACTGAAGAAGTACAAGACAGACATGGAAAGAAGACTTAGATATTTCTTATGAAACAGAACCATTTAGCTTAGAAAACACCTTCAAGATCACCAAGTCCAACCACCAATGTGACGCACTAAGTCCTATCATTAAACCATGCTCCTTGGTGCCACACATCTCTTAAATAGAGTGATGGGGACTCCACCATTGAACTGAGCAGGGTAGGGCAACTATGAAACATCGCTGTATTTCTAATAAAAAGTAGCATTTCCTAATAGAGAAAACTACATCAAATGTTTATCTAAACCTAAATTTTTCACCAGTTCATACATCCACCTTGCTTCACCTCAGTCTATCGGGCTATGTATCAATGCCAGGATTCTGAGATGATTTTTTTTGCCACAGTAGAACTTTGCCACATACAGAACTTGGTATCTCTCTCCTTAAGACGACAGTATTTGGAGTGACATAGAGACAAAAGATGATTGTGACGTAAAGAGGAGATATGGGATTTTATAACCAAAAGAGGAAAGAAACTTTCAAACAAAAACCAAAACAAGCCACCAAAAGCTAACCTAGCTGTAGTTCGTTTGATGAACACAATGCATCATGTGTATTAAAATGAACATAATATTTAACATAAAATCCAACAGTAGGAGTTTCACAACTTATTTTAGTGCACATTGTAATACCAGAGATTTGGAAGATTACAAAACTGTATCCTGTTACTAATACGAGAGTTATAAACCACTTGGACAGACTACCTAGAATTAAGGTTATCTAGAGCAACTTATGAAGCTAACAGCTGGGAAGTCAGCAGGTGCTGACAGATACTCAAGTGTCTACAATGCTGGTTGTTTTTTTGTTTGTTTGTTTGTTTACAAATTAGTATTGCAGATATTCAGCTTTGCTAAACATTGAGCCATACAAATAGCAAAGAAAATCAAATCCTTTAATTGTCTTCTACAGAATGAATACAACTCTTATAACTGAAAGACAGCAAAGCCACATAATCACTACTGAAAAGCTTTCAAAATACTGTTAAATGGAAGTCAGGCAAAATTCATCATGTAGTACCAATGTCAAGTTCCTACCTTCTCCCAGGCTAATAAAAATTAGCCCCTCTTGTGTTAACCAAACCTAAGACAGATATTGTGGTGATCTTATTTGAAATATTTTTTAAAAGTATCCAAATGACTTAGGAATGGAAGCATCACTTAAGAATGATTTTACACGTAACCTTTTCAACATTCAAGCTTTTGGCAGAAATGTGGGGTCATCAAGCTACATCTTCCTCCTCACTGAGATCTACTACAATAGCATCTAATTCTGTATCAGTCCAAAAGCTCTTTACAGCCTGAAAACTGAAGAGAGAAAACTGGCTTGATTGCAGTGCTTTAATAAAATATTATCCTTACGCTGACAAGCTGTACTGACATTCCACCCCTCTTCTTGTCCCTTTCCTTAAAGTGGGCCTGTGTTGCCTATCTGTAGCTTCCCCTCCAGCACTTCTTTGGAGAAGCAGGAGGCAGCTTGTGTTTTTTCAGGCCAGCACTTTCCCAGACACTGCCCAGCAAGGTGCCAAAGAACAACAGACCTGCTGTGGATGGAGGTGAAATTAGTGAGGGTGTGTATGTGCAGGTATACTTACGGGTCCCAACAGTGGAACAGGCAATGATGTAAGAGAAAACAAAACAATAACTGCTACCTCATGCTTCAGACACAGGGAAAAAGATAACCTAGAAAGTTAGTCTCTCCCAGAAAAAAAAAAAAAAAAAAAAAAAGACCAACTGCAAAGTACAGGAGGGACCATTCATTGGGAGACACTTCTGTCTCCAGCCCAAGTCCTCAAAACTCTAACAGTCCCCTCTGCAAGCAACTGAACAGTATCATGTTTACCAGGTGATATCAGAAGGCTAATATTAAAACAAACAAGCAAACAACAACCAAAAAAAGAGGAAGAGCTACTTTCTATTCCTACCATAGACATATATATACACATCTCCTTAGTGACACGAAAAGATGATCTGTGGCTTTGAGTTCTATGAAAAGGCTGTGACTTTATCTCCTATTACAACTTCATACACCGTAAGTCATATTGAAGCACTCTACTTACTGGTAGACTGACTTTGCTTACTGATATTTTAGAAAGTAACTATAAATCACTTCCTAGCATAACATGGCTAGTTAATTGCAACAGCTGTAGGACAGTGATCTGGAAAGCAGTAAAGATAGTAGCCTCTTTTATCACTACATTAAGTGCAGTGAAAAAAAATAAAAATAAAAATAAAAAATCAATGCTACTAGGAACTCTGTATCTGTTCCACAACATTAAGAAGAGAATATCGGAGGTTCTGTAGGTGAATGAGTCACAAAATTACCATGATGTAACATGAACATCCTTGAGAAGGCTGATAAACCTGTCCACTAGAGGAACACAGAGTGGCCCCAGGATATTGTCCCAGCTAGGCTGCATATACTCAGAAGCTCTTCTCTGGGCATCGCTTTCACAGCAGAAGTAGTCAGCAGAAGGGGTAACAATGTATGGAATGAAATAATAATTTCCACTGGAAGCCTAAAAGAAAAACAAATGCAGTTTAGAAAACAATTTAAAGTGGAAATACATTTGTGTAAACACAGAAACTATTTACGGTCAGAAAAAAACCAGCTGGGTTTCGGTTGGCACCCAAGGAAGTTTTAGTGTTTAACACAAGATTTGCAAGCATTAAAATCAATGAATTTTGTATGGAAGAGTTACAAATATTAGTAAGTAGTGAAAAAGTATTTGGATCAGTTTAGAAACAGTACAGTAAAACTGTTCACCCCAGGGATGGGACACCCACAGCTTCTATGGGCATCTGTGCCAGGGCCTCACTGCCTTCTAAAGAATTTCCTCCTAACATCTCACCTAAATCTCCCATCTTTAAATTTAAAGACATTCTCCTCTGTCCTGTCATTATCAAACTGGGTAAAAAGTCACTCCCTTTTCTGTTTACAAGCTACTTTCAAGTACTAGAAGGCCACAACGAGGTCTCTCCAGAGCCTTCTCTTCTCCATACTGAACAAGCCCATCTGTGTCACCCTTTCTTTGCAGGACAGGTACTCCAAGCCTCTGATCATCAGAAGAGCCTGTGCTGCCATTAAGCATCAAATACAAAATAAAAAAATAAATTAAAAAAATCTACACCTTGAAATATCTGAGACTTTTAACACAAAAAAATCCCAAACCAAAAATCCTTAACAGGCTATAGACAGTGTAAATGTAATTAAGGCCCTGAAGTTGGTGAGGAAACAGGAAATGCCTTTCAGAAAATACAGTTAAGTTCAGATGCAATTCTTCAGCTCCTGAGCAAGACCCTAAAAGCAGATAACTAAGACTAGAAAGATGATGTCCTCTTTTGAAGTACAGCTGTTGTCCGCTGTTAAAAGGAAAGTAAAAACTCAGCCAAACAATGCATTCAGAGTCATTAGATATGAGCCCCAAAGCATGGGACAGTATAACACAACTGCAATCAACTACCACTGAGTATCTATCTGTTGTCACCTTGGGGATACCAAGATATCAAACATAACTTTCATTTTACTTCAGATCATCTAGGACTGCAGTAAAGCAGCAGCCATTTAAAGTCACTGGGACACTGGGAGGATGCCAAAAGGACTGAAAGAAGAGATATGAGGATGGCACGTTTTCATGTGCATTAAGAAACTACAATACAAAAGTAAACTGTTCACAGAAAATAGCAGAGTATTCAACTACTGAAAATACAGACAGCAAAAGCCTGTTGCTGATCTGGATTTGGAAGGATTTAGAACTTTAAATGATTTCTGATGGATAAAGATCAAGCCACACTCATTCTTCACAGACCTTGCAGTACTGTACCTTTGTTGTAATAATACCATTATCTGTTGCAATATTACCTCTACTTTCTAGGAAAAAAATTGCAATTTAAGCAACCAGTATGTTAAATTAATTTAGTCCAAGGTTTATTCAAATATGCACTAAGTTAGGTGCAGTGCAAAAGTTGCTTGATTATTATTTCTATTTTAAGCCCACAATAACAAATTAGGTCTTCCTGCGATGGGGACAACAGCAACAATACAAGCTGAAAGCAAGATACAGCTTGTGATGCAAAGAGAAGTGCAGTTATCTCCTGAAATAGCAAAGCAATTTTCAGAAAATATTGAATGGCATGGATGAAGCATTATATTTCTCAAGTTCATCTATTTGACTGAGGCTTTTGCCTCTTTCTGGATAGCAAAATCTCTGCATTTGAAAACACATTTTCTCCATACCATAAATATTTTTACATGCAGAAATCAGGAAAACTACACATATTTCAGTGTAGTTTCACCTTGTTTGAAGAGCAACCACCACAGCTGTAGCTCCAAAAATTTGTTTGTTGTGTTTGGGAGTTCAGTCAGGTGACAATGGATGTCTTTGGTATTACATGTGAAGGAAAAGATATTCTGCCTCCTGGCAGAAATATTACTGCATATAGCACCAAGGAAACAAAACACTGTATGCCCTATACACACTACTTTGCAATTTGTGGCCATTCCACCTATAAACACATATAATCTAATTGTGATAAGTTTGTATCTTTGTGGTTTATATAGATCACACATTGGTTTATTTCAGGACTATTAGCCCTTTTTATCATCTCACATAGAGAAATCTTTAGGTTTAAGAAATGTAGAAGTTTAAAAATAAAAGAAAGACAGACTGAAAAAAAAAAAAAAGAAGAAGAAGAAAAAGGAAAAACTCTCAGCAAATAATGTATGTGCTAGCAGTGACACTTTCATATTCAATCACAACAGTTCCATCCACCAGAAAAAGAGCCCAAGGTAGGAACATTAAAAAATTACAGAAAATAGCTGCAAGTCAGTTGAGAAAGGGACCTGCTTCTTAGAGGAAAAGGGTGGAAGGAATTAAGGACAAAGTCACGTCTTTGCTGAAGTAGTTAGGCCCGCAGAAGCCATTTTAAGATCTTGGCATGTTGGGCCAAATGTAGTGCTTTTTTCATAAAATCCTCCTCTAAGTATTTTGTTAAGGCTGTTAAAAGTGAACGTCTGACCTTAATAATGGAAACAGTTGTGGGGTGTTGTCTTTTAATCATCCTGCTACTGTTATTCTGGCCAAACTGCCACTTTGTGACAGAGACATCAAACTAGAATTTAAGGGCTATTATTTTGAATGCAGAGTAAAACTTCTGCATCTTCAAAGAGGGAATTTTGCCTTCACAGCTAACAGCTCAGCTATTCCACTCCAGCCATGTAGTCCTTTTTGTCAATCACTCAAGGAGCATTAAGAGTGCTCGCCCTCACTTACCAAGCAGTTGGGAGAGCAACATGCCAGATGACAGCAAATGACTCAAAGAAGTCACATTCAGTGAGACTAATGGACTTTTATCTTAAGAATTCACCATAAGAATCCATTCGTATCTTAAGAATTTAAGTTTCCATAGTAGCAGATTTCTATGCCATCACATTCCTATCTATCTTACAATATAGGTGACTCTAAATTATCATCAACTTTTAAAAACACTCCCTGTTCGTAAGTTGAACATAAGTAGTGACTACATAAATACTGTGAGAAAGATTATCATAAAACAAACAATCCACACACAAGATCTAGGTTGCAAGTAATATGTACTCTGAGATTATTATGGGTGCAAAAGAAAGAATGATTTTTAAAGCACCCTTACATAAAAATGCTAGAAACACAGTAAGAATATGGTATGTTTATTAAGAGAAAACAGATTTAAAATGATACATACTTTGCCTATCAGGTTACCATTGTGGTATTCAGCAGGTACTTCAACTCGAAGAAAAGTTTTGTGGTTGGCAACCTACTCCAAATTGAAATAAAACAACAAAGAGGAAAACACCACCATAAAACAGCATGAGAATCAAAACAATAGTTATGACACATGAATAGAGAAATGATTAAAGTAAGAAACAATGGAGAAGAAATGTAGATATAGTAAATCCATATTTACAAAAAAAAAAAGAAAAATAGTGCAACACATCGCCAGCAAGAAAGTGGAATGTGAGGTTTCTTTGTTTTTCTACACATCTCCTTGTGTCACCATTAACTTGCTTTAAAAGTCTGACTTCTTGACAGTGGCAGATTCATTACCTGATTAGTTAACTATAAGCCAATTGCTACAAATGTGCCTCCCTTGAGACAGTAACATTTCCATAATTATTGTCATAAATTAATTTTAAAAGCCACAGTTTTCATTATGCAAATAATAACTGTTATAAGTAATGATCAGTAAAAAATATTTTTAATATTTCTATTTCCTCTCAAAAAGGAATAACAATGGACTCTCAGCTACCCTGCCCTCTTTCATTCTGCGCCCTTTTGAAACTTTTACTACTTCTGCTGCCTCCAACTTTTCAGTAATAAATTATTAGACAATCACCATACAATCTTTTATAAACTGTAAAAATAATTAAAATATATATATATAAAGCCATTCTATGATACTACTTCTTCATATTATCAAATTTATATAGGGTAATCATACTTCATTCAATCCTTGGGACTACTAAAATGGAGAATGAGTCCAAATGTCAAAATCTTTTATTTAGATTTCTTATATGTTCATTGACTTGAAGAATTAGCTACCATAATTTATACAGCTACTGAAGCTCTGAAGACACTTGAGGCCAATCACAATAAAAAGTGATTTTTCAACATAAAAATTCCTTTGGCAAGGATAAATTTCAATCTTGTTTCCTTTGGATTAAGGAGAACTTTTGCTAACAGCTCCTCCATAGCCAAGCCATCACTATCCTCTATAATTTAAGAAAAAAGAAAAAGCCCCAAACATTTAAATCTCAAAATATTTCTTCAGGTACATAGACCTAAGTAATAATAAACTTTTTGGTTTAATAGCCATCCTACTTCCCTTTAAATACCTTCTCCCTCCCCACCACCCTTCAGATTAACAGTTATTCAAACTCCTTCAGGTCTACTATCAACTTACGAACTAATGAAAAATTCTCTTTATATTCTAAACTTGCCCTGATAATTTTTTCACAAGGGAAGTTCTGGCTTATATTCTCAGTGTCACATTCAAATAAACTAAACGGATCAAAGCATTCAGTGCTAGAACTACTGTAAGAAGGTCGGAACATTCTGCTTCCTGACTCCAGCAGTTTTTAAAACACTTCCTGTGCACTCTTTTATTCTCTCCATCTTGGACAACTTTACACACTCACTATTCCTTAAAATTCTATAGAGAGAGACAGAATTTCCCTACTGAGAACAAAAACAAACGAATCAAGGATATCAACAACATTTTGTACCAAAATATAATAATTTTCCCATGGATTATGTGTAATGCTAAATTGGGGGAAGATTTTCTAAGCAATTCAGGCTTTTGAAAATCCTTGAAATTTTATTTCTTTTAGTAAACCTGTAGTAACTTAACATCTAAAGAAACTCCAATGCACAAGCCAGTTTTCCAGAGAGAAATGCATTTTCCTGTACCCTACAATCCGATAGCGCTCTCAGACCTTAACTTGTTCATAACAATACAGGAAACACATTGTTCTGTCCAAACACACATCTCTATTAGTTTTATTATTGATTACTTTGACAGAAGAAAGGGAGCTGTGCCTAAACTATAAATGAAATTAGCAGAAGGTTGTCCTCAAACCTCCAAGGAGCTCTATGGAAGGAAAACTAACTCATGGGGCACTGGCAATATTGACCTTGCATGTCATACAAGTGCAGTTCTGTTTTGGGAGCTGAACTCCCATAGCCAGTAATTCTTTCATAAATCTAAAATCTAAGTACACAATAAATTATTGATTCAGAACTTCCATTAATTGTCTGTGGGAGTCAAGTAGATCTGAATCACATCTCTCAGTTTTTATCCTGGAAATCTTTGTTCCTGGACAGTGGGAGGAAGCTATAAACCCAGTTCTACTCCTACGCTCTTTTTCCAGACATGAAGCTATTAAATATCTCAAGCACACACCACCACAGCATGCCACTGTATAACTTTCTCTTTTAGATCAGCTGTGCTCAAGCCAACTTTCAAATCAATGCTGTAATTTTTTCTATGCATTGTTTTCAGATTTATGTCCAGTTTCTTCACTTTTGTCTCCTCCCTGATGCAGAGTTAGCATAATACTTTCCTTACAAAGAAAATATCAACTTTCTTCAAGACTTACCTGCTCAAAAGCCACTAAGGACACGCAATACATTCATCTTTTCTGCATCTTTAGTATGGTTCCACATCCATTCTATGCTGTTATCTTTTGCACTTTTGTACATGATTTGATATTTGCAGGACAAACAGCAAAGGTAAGGACAAGAAAACCTAAGAGAAAGGTCCTAATTGCAGAACTGCATGCAGAAAATTTCACTCTTGCTGCTGGAAAGATGGTGCAATGTGTCTGGTAGCAATCTCAATTACCTTCTTTCCTTACATGAGCACAGACACAGAGTACCGAAGCAGCAAGAGGACTTCTCTTCATAAAACCAGTAATGGTAATCCTGTGGCTACCTTTGGGTTGGAAGAAAGCTTAGCAGATGAAGTATCTATCCTTCTTCCAGTGTATCTCCACACTCCACCACAGCGTGTGAAGAATGCACTTAAGCTCTTTCTGCTTCATCACAGCTATGACAGAGGCATACCAATAGGAAGATCAGTTCAACCAGGAAACATGATAGGAAAATACAGACCCGTAGCAGAGTATATTAAGTGCTATATGTAATAGTTAGAAATGAAACTGCAGTGGTTACATGACTATTTACCTCACCGGATGTAGTAAATTCGTGTCAATTCTGTAACTACATATCTAGCACAGCAATCCTAATTAGCAACAGCCCTCCAAAAAAACCACTACAGAACTTTCATTTGTTTGCAGGAGTCAATCTGAATGGCATTCCCCATATTTTCCTACCCTGGAAATCCTCATTCCTGGACAGTGGAAGAAAGCTACCTTCCCAGTTCTCCTATTCTTACACGATATATTTTATCAAGCATTGAAGCAGTGGCACAACACTGGACTGCAGCAAACTACATGCCACTGCAGACACATCATGTGGCTTGCAAGGAGGGGAACTGTCTATTTGAAGCCAATTCCAACTTAGAAAAAGATTAAGTTTGAACTTATTAATTATTTAGCTTGCCAATCAGTTTATTGCTATTTCAGATTAAAAAACTGATTAAAAAAGAATGCAACATGGGAGCACTATACAATAAATTTACTATCTAAGAGAATACAAATAACTTTGAGTAATATGAAAGGTAAAGAATCCATACTTGATATTTTAAGTCAATTATTTTTTCTTCTGTATTTTACTCACAATGGTCTTTGTAATCCAAGTACTTGAGGAAGTAGGCTACACAATTCCTCCTCTCCCACTTTTTTAGCACTTTTTTGCTAACCTGGTGTTTCCAGGTCTGATGCAGGAAACATTACCAAATCCACTTTTTCTTCTCTTCCTCATGAAGCTGAAGGAGATCCTAACTCCCCTGTGGGGAGAGAATCAGCCAAAAGAAAAGACTGCAGGCTGCTAATCCATGGCACTAGGATCCATGGCACTAGGATCCACTTTTGCACTACCTCACGAGTAACCACTAAATGGCTCTTGTCACAATTCTCTCTCTGGCTCTAGAGGGGAGAACATATACTTGTGACATCCACCAGTTATAGCCTGAAGATGGAAGTAGCATTATTCACAAGGAAACCTCAAGCTGTTCTGAGGCCTCTTTTCACAGAGGTGCAGACTAGGAAATGCAGTTCCCACTGCACAGTGAAACCAGATCAAAGATATCAAAGATCACCACAACAGACAGGAAAAGGACTTGGACTTACTCAACCTGATCTATCTTTAGCCTATATACTTGCTGCGGCCAAGTATAAACTGTAACTCAAAATAAGCAGCTGTAACTAGTAAATTATCTCTTTTAGTTCTCTTCTAAATGATCAGTTTAGCAAAATCAAAAGCCATTTTATTGTTTTAATCCTGCTTAGGATTACTTCAGAAAAGAATAAAAGTATATGGAAAACATATAAAGATATAAGTTCAAGATTTTTATGAATTCAAAAGCCCTCAGGATAAGTGTTTAATGAAAATAACCACTGATGGAAAGTATCACAAAATTACAGAACTGTGCAAGATATTGTGGTATATTACAGTAAGCCTAAAATAACTACTGAATTGTATCTTTGTTGAGGTTTACTCACTTATTTGTTTTCCTTGCATTAAAGTTAAAAATGTTTTTAATTGGGGAAGGTTTTGCATTCCTCAGCAAAACCTGTGAATTTGTGAAGAAAAAGATGGGTACACAGTAGTCAAATCTGCTTGATGTACAGCCTTAATAAGGTATCACACACACATTCATATTTATACAAATGAGTGAAAGTGGTAGAGGTAGAAACAGATTTTGAAATTTCAAGTCTATATTTTTATCTATGAACACACATATATAACATACCTACTGGCACTTCTCTAGAAATTAAAAAGGAACTCCTAAAGGAAAGTAATTTTTTTCATCTATCTTTTCTTTTGAAAGGAAGTCAGTAAGATTCACTTGGTACTGTACGTAAGGAAAACAGACTCCCTAGTACCATAAAGAGCATATATACACCTGGTAACATTGTTGTTAAAATTGTTTCAACTGTAGTTTTCATTTTGCGTTTTAAAATGAATGTAGATTTAATACTTACTGTATTTTTCTGAGATACCATATCCTGGAAGAAAAAGAGAATAAAGATGGTCATTTTTACTGAGAATTATTATTACGTCCAATAAAATTAATGGTATACACACATACACAGGTACAAAGGTGTTCTTCAACACATAATCTCCTTTTCCTGCCATACCAAATTCCAAGTAAAGGACAATGTCAAAAAAAATATCCAGAGTTCGGTTTCAGAACGAATTAATGATTCAGCAAATAAACCTATTTAAATTAGTGCTCAGAAGACAAAGAAAACTTGTACTTGCCAGTAACTGGAGTTTCTCAAGCAGGGCACTCCATAAGCCTACTGGACACTTGTGAATCAAAAGCATTCAAAGCTGGAGACTTTTGTCTCAAAGAATATCCTTAAGATATCTAGGCTCCTTTCCTACCTGGATGGGCACAGCCCAAAACACTCCTGCCTCTAGTTCTTCTGACTATGAAATCTAAAGAGAGAGATTGAAATCATGAGGAGAATGACAATTTAACATAAACCAAACCTCAAAGATCTCCAGCTGTTGGTAAGTAACCTTCTCCTTCTTGTGGTGGTATGCATGTCCAGTGACATGGTGAAATAAAGAGATCTCCAGATAAGCTACTCTACAAATGTTAGAGGCAGACTTGTTTCTAAGCAAGGTTACTGAAGTAATTTAACTGTATGTGCTCTAGCAATCTAAAATCATTCTTACTCAGCACCTTCACATCCAACAGCCTCAAACCCTTGCAATGATGGTGCCCATGTATATACCATCAGACTGAGCATTACTAACAGTCTAAGAGGTTTAGTTCCACAATGATGAACCTCTTGAAATCCAGCCTTTTTATTATGTGCTTAGAAATAGTTTGTTTTGGAAACAACACTGAAGAAATTAAAGATACAACTCTTGGGAGAATCTCAAGGATGTATTCTATGAAGTGAACTAAATAGTCAGGCTGCCTGAACTTCACAGCCACTCCAGCAGGAGTAACAGTAAGAATACTGCCTTCATAACAGCTAGGCTAGACGCTCTTATTGGGCATGTAAAGCAACCCAAATCCAAGTAGAGTAATATATTCCTAAAAGCAAAGGGAAAATAACTGGTTAAATTAGTCAGAAATGACAAACCACCAATAGACAGTCTACTATTCACATCAAGGTATCTATACCTAACAGAATTACTGATTAAAAAAAAAAAAAAAAAAAAAGATTGAAAGCCTAGTCATCTGAAATAAACACCTGAAAGAAAAGCTAAAAGTAAACATGTCCACTTAACTAAACAAATATCTCTAATAAAATTACATCTGCTTTTGATAAAAACTTCTAACTTTTTCCTTAGGGAAAAAAATGAACTCTTCTGAAAACTACCTAGCACCTAAACCATGAAATATGCCAAGAGATCATGAAATGTTCTTCCCTGAAGGATCCCAAGAATAATCCCTATCCACCTTCTGAAGTATTCCTAAAATGAAGTCTATTTGTATATTTCAACAGTATCCAACAGCAAACTGGAGCTCAATTGCAAAAGAAGTACCAAGAACATCAGGATAGGACAGAACCATATCCCCATATCCTGCTAAAACTCCCCTGGTTTTCAACCAGATGACCTCTTCAACTTGTTTCCAAAAACTCAAATCAATTAATCAAGTAATTTTGATCACATAGTAAGGTATGCCAGGGGACTGTTGACCAAAGTGATTATACAAACTGTGAGATAAGAGATACGGCAGGGCTCAGTGTCACTAGCAGAGCTCCCATGAGAAGAGAAATTAAGAGAGAGAACAGTTTTTCTAGCCCTATGTGATCCAGTCATACTCTAGCGTTGCGAGGTCTCCAGCTCTGTACTTGAGCTTCAAACTCTTCAACGAAAAGACTCAGAACTGACACCGCAAAGATCTGCAAGCTCGGGCAATGAACTGTCTGAAACCTGGCCCACAGATAGATGTGAGACTGGAGGTCATCCATCATCCCTCCAGTTACAGAGTACATGCTTGCATATGTGCTTGGCACGAAGTGCAGAAATCAAAACCGTTCTCCTCATTAGGTGGAGATACGTAAAAAATGACTAGCTTGGGCTTCCCAAATTTAGGCACTTGCTGGGGAGAACCAAGATGATCAGAACACCTGAGATACAATTTAAGACAAAGATTTTAAAAAAATGTGTTAATAAAAAATAAAAACTGCAGTCAGGTATATTGTCACTGCAAAAGGAAAAATTGTATGCCTGCCCTTAAGAAATTATTAGGGCAATGAAGGGGATGCAAGAATGCCTTGACACATATTTGTTGTATCTATTTGAGCAAAGGGTGTGAGGCTCCATCTCTGAGGTCTTGTGACTCCAGATTACACAAAATGTGAAATGCAGAAAGCAGTACGGGATTCTAGACTCAGAGTAAAACTGAACACACTGAAAGAAAAAGAAGCTGCGACAGGACCCAGCTCTTCTGGGAAGAGACAAGGAGTCTCAAACGCAATTAACATTCAACTAAATATTCTTATTTCACTGGGAGAGGTTGGAGAATTCCAAGATAGATTTTTGGACATCAGTGCAATGAAAAAATGTTAAATTATAAAGGGCAATAAATCAAAAGAAGAAAAAAAAGCAACCTCACACAGCATGAACAACACTGTTCTCAGTGAAGGTAGCAAGAAAAAGGATGATATTATAAGAATCAGTAAGTGGTAATCTAGACGTGTAAGTAAGAGTAATCTAAACGTGAGCCAAATGAACGAGAACCTACGCTGTGAAAGAAATATCCCACTATAGGACTCGCAGCCAGAGCAGCATTAAAAGACTTCAGTGTATAGCATGTTTCCCTACTGTAATAGTGAACAACAGGCCTGTAAAATGATTTGATGAGGATTTCTTCCTTGTCTCTTCCTTATCTTCATCAAAGAGAAATAAAAAGAAGATAATAAAAAAGAATATTCCTGTAATCTTAGCTTCTCAGAAACTAGGAGATACTAACTTCAGCTGAGAGAAGTACTTAAATGTTCAGAGTAGGTTGCAATACATTACTTCTTCGAGCATCATTACTAGAAGTAAAAGTGCAGATTTTGTACAAGTCAAACCATCTGAAGCAAACCCAGTATTGCAGTATGGATCTTTTCTTATAAACAAGCTTTTACATTACTCTAACCACTGCTATTCTTGGTAGTAGCTATTACTCTTAACAAGATTTTGCTAAATAGCCATTAGGAAATCACACTCCATGAAAGTTTCAAAAAAAAACAACTACATGTCTGCAGGATCAGGTAGTTAAAGATATTTCTGAAATGAAGCAAGATTTTGAAGAGAGAACCTTACTTTGAGAGACTGAGCAGTGTCATCATCAGTGCCGTGGTAGAGTATAACATTATTTGCCATGTCAAAGCTTTCACGCACACCAAGGTGGTAGAACAGTGATGGTTGCTTGGAAATATCACTCATATCCACAACTGCAACATCTGAAATAAGAGAGGGAGGAGAGAAAGTGCTAAAAAAGAAAAAAAAAAAAGTCTTAAAACACATTTCATTATTACAAAGAATTTAACATGAATTATGAGATCACACATACATTAGTAAGTACAAAATCAACAAACTTAATTAAGGATCATTTTCTCATAGTACGAGTAAATATTACCATGCACTTGAAAGATACTACATCCAGAAAATGATCACAGTATTACCATAACTGTGAGGCATGGTCTACGAATTCACAGTTTTGAAATCACTGCATCAGGTATACTGCAGGTGAAGAAGGAGTTCTACTTTTGCTCCCCAGGCCAGGCCTGATGGTCTGAATACCCACCAAGATGGGAGATGTGGAATCTCCAGGTGAAACCTCTGAGGAGAATAAGGCAAATGAAAATTAAGGGAAACCACAAGATCACATTTATTTTCACTGAATCTTGAAGTACAGGAAATTCCTAAACAGTGGAAAAATAAATAATTTGTGAAATTGACTTTTAAAAGCTACACTCATGATGCAGTTTGAGGTGCAGGGCAGGGTGGAATACAGAACTCAACTACAAGCAGCTTGAGCAAGACTTCCAGTGCTCCTGGTTAGCACTCTAGACAGAAATGAAGTAAGAAACTTCGCATCAGTGAAGATGACCTATACAGAGAGGTAAATAGAAATACCCTGCACTATGCACAACAGCTGAGATACAGACTAAAGACTTGAAACTCACTGTCTGTTTTTTATGTGAGCCTAAAGACTAGCACTGACAGAAGAAGTAACTGGAATAAGGACACTTATGCTGTTTTTCCCTTGATCCTTGTATATTCTGTGCTACGTAAGAAAGCTGTGGTCTTAAGCTTTTTGAAGGTCTGTGTCTGCATGACTGTCTGCTTTCACTGCTGCGGGATAGACGGCTAAATGTACATCCAAAGTATTCATAAGACTAAAACTTGGGCATTCAAACCACAGGGCAGTCTGAGGTACAAAACAGATTCCAGAGTCCCAGTTCAGCAGGGCAGTAAATCCTGCACCTCTGAAGCTGCTAACAGACAGCTCCTGTATCTGCAGGGAATGACGGAGAAGAACGAAGCTACTAATAAACAAGAAACCCATGAGCAGGCCAGGCCTGTTGTGTGAAATCCAAACAAAGCAGTCAGTTCACCTGGGCTTCACTGAGGTTACCTACCAGAAGAATCAATGCCTCATACTCGGTATGCAAGTTCTCAGTAAATCCAGCAGTGAATATACATTCCTGTACAATTCCACCTGGGTATTTTAAAGGCTGTGCTAAAGCACCACACCCTGGGGTCAGCCAAACCTTTTCATTAACCTGTTAAAGCACTGTGGGCTTTTGAGTCCACAGAAATGACGTGCCTAAAAACCGAAATATCTCTACTTAAAACATAATGATTTAAAAAATAATTAATAATATAAAATAAAATCATGGTAAAGTGAGAAAATTCTCCTATCCCTGAGCAATCTCAAATCCTGCACCACCTACTGATTGCCTTTCCAGTTCCTGCTCAATGAGCTTTCTGCAGCAGAGCTAATTGTTAGCATACCGCACGCTACAGGGCCATACCAACTGAGCAGGCTTGAAGCAGTAAACCCCAGCTTCATCCACACATCCAGATTATCCTCACCTCCAACATAACAAAAGCAACTGAGAAAACATAAGTGATCTATAAAATAAACATTTGGACAAAATAACAAGCAGACCTAGAATCACATTAACTCAAAGAAAAAGATGAAGTTGAAAAAGTTGGACTGTTTTTAGTGCCTGTATAACCTAATTTTGTGGAACTGTGCTGTGGAATCAAAATCTCCTTCCTGGTGAGAAGATTTAGACAATGTGTTCACGTAGCACACAGATATTGCATTTTCCAATACCATGTGAGCAATGATCCGTAACAGTTTATTTCAACAAGGCTACCCACAGCCCATTGCTGTGCAAGCCTACATCTGAAATTTGCCTCCTCTTGACTGCCGCTCGGTTGCAGTGTAAGTTGCACCAGACCCACATTAAATGGGCATAACCACAGAAATGTCCACAATAAAAAGGGGAATTATTCAGCAGTTAACACTGATAAAAGATAGAAGAGGATGAGCTTTTCTTGTCTATTCACACCTCATGAACACAAGTGTGAATAAGGTAAAATAAATAGAAGACTGGCAGCGAAGATGAAGGTGGCATCACAAAAACATACATGCACATGGAAAAAATAGCCCCAGGAAGATGACTGAATAGATCCAGTCTGACCATGGGAACCAAGGGATGAAAGCAAACACCATCTGACTAAAGCAGAACATCAGAAGCGCTGATGGCAGCGGAGCAGAGCAGTGATAAGACCCTGTGTTCCCAGAGTGGTCTCCACAACCCCTCCAGCAGGAACAGCAGTATGCTGGGAGCAGGAAGGAGAGAATATGCACCTATCCACATAGCAGCTTTAATCAGGTGCTAGGGAAGCATATCTTGAGTTTGGTGAGGTCAGGAAATGAATGTGAGTGGAGAACAAATGATGAATAATCAAAGCTAATTAAAGCAGCAGCTCCCTGAGACACATTCAGTGCACTGGTGTCTCGCTCCGATTTATAGGAGGGAGAGGAGGTCCTTTTAATATCTGTATACCCGGCGTGAGATTAAGAAACAACGGTTCAAATGTTGGTCTGACCAGTTTATTACAGATCTTAATTAGGGAGATGGGGAAGGGGAGGATGGACACTATCATGAATTAGGGTAATGGGGAAGGGAAGGAGGGTGATAGAAAAGGTAGGAAAGAAGAAGCAAGGAGTCTTTATAGGAAGCAAGAGGGACATAGTCACCACCATGGATCCAGTGTGGTTCGTAGCTCAGCCTTTGATCTTCAGTAGTGGTGGGTCATCAGGCGTTGTTGTTTTGTTGACAACGATGACGACCGTGACCATGGTGATGATGGCCCCTTTTCAATGCTTTCAAAGTGATTGAGTCAGCTGTCTTTGGAGTGACAGCTCAAATCCAAAGTGGTTGAGTCAGCTCTCCTTGGAGTGGCAGCTTCTGGCTCTGGATCTTAGCGGAAACTCCTTTGTTCCTATCTTCCTGGCCTTGCCAGCAGATAAGGGGGAGCAAGGAGGCACCAACTTGTATCTTGCCTTCACAGGATACAATGGCATCATCCCCCAGTTTCCCATAGCAAGTTGGAGTTATTTAGTCACAGGCCAGATCTTCCGCCAGTAAGCACTCCTGAGCACTTATCTTCCGGAGGCAAACAGCTAAAATTGTCCACACAGTGATGTTGATTGCCACACAGCAACACCCATCACTCATCTCCTAGACAAGTCAGTCTTATCACAAGAAATACCTCAGGAAGCAAGCTTTGAGCCAAAAAACAAAGAAGGATTCTCACAACTGGGCACTGCAAGTACAACACTCGGTGACAGTGATCATTCCCCAGCACTACTGTTTTCAGGGCTACATCTCTTCAAGCTGTGTGAATCACTCAATGATTCACAAATACTTTTGTTTCAGTTGTCCTATGCTTTGCTAGCAATTGATGCTAAAATCTTTCATCTACAATTCTTGAAACACAAATAAAGGATCCTGAAGTACAACAACATATATGGAATGGTTACAAAGAGAAGAATTTCCATACTTCTAAGGTCTGTGAGATACATAAAATTAATACTACTGCACAAGTATCTGCTTAGCAAAGCATGATTTTTGAACAGAAACAAGTTGATCACGCTTCATCCTCTACTCCCATCTCTGCATCAGAAAAGCCAATTCAAAACGCTTTGCAGGCTTCTGTTTCCAAATTCAGGTTTAGCTTCCTTTCTCACAGATAAGTATTGATCAAGAATTAATGCCGACTTTTTGGATAGCCAGGTTGTAGGTGGTAATAGCTGAAGTTCAGAGTAGAAGTCAGCAGAAGCAGCTTGGAAGAAACAGTGGCACATGTAGTTAGAGGGAAACTGGTAATGAAATTAACCAGCACGATACACTCACAATGCCTGAAAGCATTTTAACATAAGCAGAAAACACAAAAATTGTGTTTATTTTAAATATCTTGTTTAGCCACAACTAGAAATTTCTTGTTCTTGAGTTCAATTCTCACCTGCAACCTTTTATGCTTTGAAATTCGAATAGCCTCAGCACCACTAATTCTCATTCAGCAAAACCATCCCTTGGGATACAGTGATCATCAGACAACCACCCAAAATGCAGCATGGACAGATTGAGGGGCCAACATTCAACTCGAGCTTTCTGCACAAGCACCCGTTTCATCCACAGTGATCCAGAACAGGGTTACATTCAGACCCAAACATTACAGCCACTAATCATGTCAGCGCTGTGGTGTTACTTTACAGCAGTGCTCAGGCACCGCCTCTTTCATCTGTCCTCTGGTACAGAGGACACACATTAAAAATAGAAATAGAGCGTATTTTTAGTGTTCCAGTGGTGTTTACTGCCGTTCAGGAGAAACAAGTATTTAAAACTATTATACTATTTGAAACTATTATTAATTCTTATAAATGTCATGAATACTTCATCATGGTTTAGAACTGATATGTACTCCTTATTGTCAAAAGAACCCATTCATCCCAAAAATTAAATCACACACAAGAAACTACAATTCAGTTAAAAGCAGCAGAACAAATTACAGCGGGTAACTAATACTGTCACTTCTAGGGATTGATATAGAAACTAGTTGCTCATTTCCTTTTATGTCCTGGGGCTTTCTTATTTATTAAATATCACCTGAATCTCGCAGTTCTCTCCCCTTAATTGCACATTAAGGATTTTATTTGTTGTTAAATTAAAGGAAAGGTTCTTCCAATGTCCTTGAAAATGAAAAGCAAAAACTTTATAAAACATCATTAGATGTTTCCTAAATATAACTAAATTCACAGTAAAACTGTACGTTTCAAGAAGGCAAAGCACTAATCTAAAATAGGAAAGCAGTTCTACTGATCCAGAAAAGCAAAACTTGTGCCCAAAGAATGTCTGTGCTTATATTTAACAGATCT